CCCCCCCCCCCCCCCCCTGGTGGTAGGTATTCATGGTCGAATAAGTAGAGGGTAGATGGCAGACTTCGGAGTTCAAGCCCTCAAGGTTGTTCATTGTTCTTGGAGTTAGGTTTCTGGGTTCACGGTCTGATCTCTCGGCTTTGGGGGGTGTACGCTGTGATACGGTTGATGATATAAATCGCGCATTACCCATAATAAGGAATATACCATGATTCCCATAGTTTAGGGTCCTTTTTAAGATATTGCAGGATTTGTATCATCAACAGTATGTGACTGCACTTCCCGCAGGATTCGCTTACTGGCAAGGGATTGAAAGACCCACTTGGATCAAGCGTGACAGTGAATTAGCAGCCCCTAGAAGCAAGAACTCGACATTTCAAAAAACCGTCCATGATATTGCAAGATTAGATGTTTCTTAGAGCCAAGTACTCGAGTATGGCACCTATACTTCAATCTAAGAGGCTTCCAACAGCCCAAACCAGGCTCTGGGACTAACCTATAGTTACTCCATAGATGAGCCTCAGAACGCACTAGAGTTCAAGCCCCAAAACCCCCAAATGCTACACCCGCAGCCCTGCATGCTTGACAGCTCTACACACCCAAATCCCTGCAGCACCTGCACCCTCAACTGCCGCAAACACGCTAAAGACTTCTAAAGACCCTCTAAAACCTCCAAACAATTGAATAAAGTCATAAACGCCCTTAAACCCTAAACCCTAAACCCTAAAACCCTAAACGAAACCCTAAACCCTAAAACCCTAAACGAAACCCTAAACCCTTAAACCCTTAAACCCTAAACCCTGCCCAGGGTGCCCTTCCTGCTGTGGGCGCTCGTGGGAGATTGGCTGCTGGCCTTGGGGGGCCAGGAGGCGACTACTTGGGTAGTTCTCTAAATTAGGGTCCCTTTTCGGTCCCCAATATAGTAGACCCTTCTAAACAAGACCCTAAAAGGGATCCTAATTTAGAAAGCTAACTACTTAGATTAAGACTTGGGGTTTGGGCTTTTTGGGTTTAGGGTTTGGGGTGTTGGGTTTAGGATTTTGGGTTATGGGTTTGTGGGGAAGGGGTTTTGGGTTATGGGATCTGGGTTTATAGGGTTCGGGGTGTTGGGTTTATGGGGTTTAGGGTTTTGGGTTATGGGTTTTGGGTTATGGGTTTTGGGTTTTGGGTTATGAGTTTAGGGTTGGGGGGTTTGGGTGTATAGGGTTTAGGGTTTATAGGGTTTTGGATTTAGGGTTTGTTGGTTTTGGGTTTAGGCTTTTGGGTTTAGGGTTCAGGGTTGCAGGGTTTGGACAGGAAAATCCTGACGAAGTCTGGCAAGTTGGAGCATGGATTCAGGACGGCGTGGGTTCAGGGTTGAAGATGAGATGAAGGATGACTAGTGCTGGATCCCCTGTACTTCACCTGAAGGCATCAGGGTCATGATGCTTGGTTTTAGTGTTGATGCTGTTATCCTGGGGCATCTTGATAGTAGAATGTTATGTTTAAGTCTTTTTCTAGGTGGTTTGTTGTTTAGGCTGGTGTTCCGAGGTGGTGTTCCGAGTAGCGTGTGTTGGGTTGTAGGGTCCACGGATTCGGGGGTTTAGGGTTGTGCATAGAGTTTAGGATGCTATAGGGATGCTTCGGATTGCGGTATTCCTGTAAAAAGGGCTTTCTAAATTTCTAAGTGCAAAGTTCAAACCTTACATTTTTCATAGATCATGCCTTCAGGTCAAGTCTGATAATTGCGCTTCAAAACCCGAATCAAACCCGTAGAAAGCCCTTGGGAAGCCTTGAACAACCTGGAACTTTGTACATAAAGGCCCCAAAGCCCGCCCGAAACCCCGAAGCCCTGACTTGTTGTGACTTTCCCCTTGATCAAGACCCATAAACCCTTAGAGCCCTGAAGACCAGAAACCCCTTAACCCTAAAGCTGCTATGAAGGCCGTAAGACCTGAACCCCAGCCCTGATGATGCCCCTCTTGCAAGGCACCGTGAGCCCTAGCCTATTGGCTTTATGAAACCCCTCTTTTAGACGTAAGCCCTAACTTAAAGCCTGTACAGTCCTGCGCGGAGGCGACACGCAAGCTGGCAGAGGGGCTCTTGCTATTGACTCAGATGGGGCACTCCTTTGTACCATGTGGGTTTAGAATCTGTAAGGCTGTTCTGGTCCCGAGCTTCGTCGATTGCGTGCGTGGTTATCTCCTACGAAGAGTATAACCCTAGAGCCGAAACGCTGAACCTCAAGCGAGTTATCCCGCTACATCGTTGATGGAGCCCATTTTTGCAAGACATGCGTGCTTATCTGTGGTCAAGCATCCGTTAAAGAACGACAGCTTGGGCCCAGTTTAGAGGAATCCACAAGACAAGGTTTCATTCTTTCGGGGACCCCAGTTCAGATCCCGGGAAAGACCCCGAGCAAAGAGGGGCCGAGCCCCAATGGTAAGAAATCCTTCTCTCCGAATAGTGAAGAACCACAGGACAGCGCCAACACCCCAAAAGGGCCTAAGCCCCGAAAGCCTAAACCCTTGTTTAAACCCTTAAAGCCCAAAGCCCAAAAGCTACCTTTATAATTCTTAACCCTGACTTTTAATCCTTACCCCCTGGAAGTCCAAACCCTAAGCTCCAAAGCCTCGGATCAGCTCAAGGCCAGCAGCTTTGGCCTACGGTGGTGCAGGGAGCTTACGGAAGCCCCGCTTTAGGGCGTATTATAGAAGCCGAAATTATTACCAATATGATTCCGGAGAGCTTTTTATAATTATACTCCCAGCGTTACCGGGGAAGGGATACCCGCACTCTCGTGGCTGAGCCGATGTCCCGGTCTTGCCCTCTGGTAGTCCAAGTATATTGTATAAGTTGGACCCCAGAACTTGTCCGACCTTATAAACCTTTATTGTAGAGTCTTTAATGGAAAGTTTATGTAGAATCCTGAATGGAAACTTTACGAACCTTTTAATTTTATAAGCCCTCTTGGACTCACCCTGGTTCAGGGTCTCGGGGTCGGGCCCGCCGTCTCTGGCGGAGGTCTGGCAAGATGCAGAGAAGCCGCTCATGCGCACGCCCGGGGCCCGGCTTGCTTTCCATCCCAGCATTCACTTACTAGAGGTCCTAAGCCTTCTTTTAACTGGGTTGTTGTCAAGGGACTTAATTGACGTTACCATGATAGGGATCTATTGTAAATAATATGGTTTCCTTATGATGGTAACTTAAATTACATCCCTTAGAGCCCAGATAATAGCAGCCCTCAAAGAACCCTAAACCCTCTCAATTAGAGTAGCCCTTTTATACCTAACTAACAGTAACCCTCGTAGAACGCAGCCCAGTGGGCTAATTGCATACCTTAGGCCACATGACGAATCCCTCAATGTGTTATTTTCATTCTGTTTGTTTTAGGGTTAGGGTGTACTGGGCTCTTTGGGTATGTTCCCCAACTACACTTTTTATGGGCTTCTTGATCGACAAATTACAATTACTCATTATACCTCCCTGAACCCTTTGTGTATATGTAAGAGAATCCTATTGTCCGAAGGTCCTCAAACCTCAGGGCACAGATCGCACAACGCTTACCAACTGACCAACACAAGGTGAATCTATCAGGCCTTTTCTCCCGATGTAAGCGAGCCTTCCTCACTTCCTTCTGCCCTCAGTTGCAGCCTAAACAAGATCTTCAAAACTGAGGCAGAACCCACTAGCTCCCTAGGTCCGTCGCACTGGTGGTACTTAGGAAAGTAGTAAGGAGTCCGACGATCTAATCTATCCTCGGGGCTGGGTTGGAGATAGATCCTGCATCCAGTCCATGTTTATTGCAAGCACGTCTCGGCTGGTGACCTCCACTCCATCAGCATGGCGCGCCCTGGGTTCTTGCTTCTGTGGTGTACCCTTGCAGCCATACTGTCGGCCACTGTGAAACCTTGCAGGGGTTGGATCCCGACTTGGAGCTCATGGCGTTCGAAAAGGGCAGCTTGCCTCGCCACGCAGGAGTTGGTGCCAGGACGAAGGCCACTCTTTGCCCGAAGGCACGCAGTCTCAAGCAAAGAACTGCAGCCTGCAAGGTTCCGATGGACAAGCGAGGCTGGATGGTATCGCGCCTTGAATATGCTGAAGGACCGCTATGACGAGCAGTACGATGGGAGCACCATGACCTGGGGTTGGTGGAGGGACAACATAAAGGGTGCTGGGTCGGCAGTGGATGTGACTTGCAACGAATGTGGCTATCGCTGTAAGAGCAGCTCATTGAAACATCTTCGAAATGGCAGTGCGCCTGCATGTTTCTGCAATAGGGCTGTTCCTTGGTCCAGTCGGGAAGGACATGAACGTTGTCTTTCGATGCTGAAGGACCGCTATGACGAGCAGTGCGATGCGAGCCGCATGACTTGGTGTTGGTGGAGAGACAACATAAAGGGTGTTGAGTCGGCAATGGACGTGACTTGCAACGAATGTGGGCATCGTTCCAAGAGCACATCATTGAACAGTCTGCAAATGGGCAGGGCGCCTGCATGTTTCTGCAACGGGGGTGTTCCTTGGTTCAGTCGGGAAGGACATGAACGTTGTCTTTCGATGCTGAAGGACCGCTATGACGAGCAGTACGATGCGAGCCATATGACTTGGGGGACGTGCGGAACCACAACATTGTCTTACCCGTCTCCGCATTCATCACAACAAGAACCGGAGAGAGAATGTGCTCGAACGTGCTCCGAACTGAAGGCTTAGCCAGCTCCTTCTGTTACTTTCTGTCCCAACGTGACCCTTCCGTTGACCTTTCGACTTGCTGGTCAGAGCTGGAGTTCTTCTCGCCCGACCAGGCTCGTCGTCACAGCTTGACAGCTGGTGATCTGTCTAACAAGTCCATAGCACTTATCAACAAGGTGTTCGAGAAGGATTTCTACGAGTTTGGTTATACGATGTGAGGGCGGAAAAGGATTGTGCAGCTCTTGATTTGGCATTCTGCGAATCAGGCCACCTTCGAACACGGTCAGTCTGATGATAAACCTTGTGGCTACAGTATTCTCTAGCTATGCTCCATGAAGGAAGCAAAACCCGCGGGTTAGTTGCGGTAGCAGTTGCATAAACATAAACACAGGCACAGCCTGAAAACTCGGAGCGCTAAAGCCCTGAATCCCTACAGCCCACAAACCGAGCGTCCCGAAACCCGCCCTCCTCCCGAGCCACAACAACAAATATAAATCGAACAAACCCTAAACTCTAAACCGGAACTTCCGGAAAAAAACGCAACTCTGAAGGTCTCTGCGTCATCTTCGGTGGCCCTTCGGGTCGGAGCCGGTTGGTGGAGAGACAACATACAGGGTTTTGAGTCGGCAATGGACGTGACTTGCAACGAATGTGGGCATCGTTCCAAGAGCACATCATTGAACAGTCTGCAAATGGGCAGTGCGCCTGCATGTTTCTGCAATGGGGCTGTTCCGTGGTCCAGTCGGGAAGGACATGAACGTTGTCTTTCGATGCTGAAGGACCGCTATGACGAGCAGTACGATGCGAGCCGCATGACTTGGGGTTGGTGGAGAGACAACATAAAGGGTCGTGAGTCGGCAATGGACGTGACTTGCAACGAATGTGGCCGTCGCTGTAAGAGCAGCTCCACGAACAGATTTCAACAGGGTCAAGCACCTGGATGTCTTTGCAACAAGAAGACAGAAGCGAAGCTGAGACGTTGGCTGTGTGCGAAATATCCGGACTGCACCATTACGTCGCAGGTGCGGGGATGCACCAATCCAGACACTCAGCGGCCCCTTCTGTTCGATTTTGGCTTGTACCAGGACACTATTTTGATAGAGCTGGATGGTGACATTGGCCACTTCGGGCGTGGGTAGGGAGGGGCCGTGGACGATCGAGGCGTGCCACAAAGAGACTTGCAGAAGGAGCATTGAACGATGCAACATGGCAGAGTCGTGGTGCGGTTGTTGCAGGCAGGTGTGTATAGTGATCGCTGGTCCTGGGAGGACTTTTTGACATCAGCGATCCAACGTGCAATATGTTTGGCCCAGCCCTGTGTACTCACCCAGGACGCTCTGCAGTACAAGGGTGGCATTTCTCGCAAACTGCGCAGCGACTTGAATTGCAAGGAAAGCTATTTCTTTCCGAGCCGCATCCCCTACCTGGATTATGGATTTGCCAGTACACCTTAAACCCTAAACCCTAAACCCTATAAACCCGCTCGGGCGGAGAGGAGTGAGTGCACATGTCCACCTTAGTAGTAGTAGTAGTAGTAGTAGTAGTAGTAGCAGTAGTAGTAGTAGTAGTAAACCCTAAACCCTAGCTCAGGTCTGCGTGGCGCGTTCGGGGGTTGGGGCTTTAGAGCTTTAGAGCTTTAAAGGGTGCCTTGTAATTTAAAGGGTAGTACAAGGGCTCCGTTCAAGGGATCCTATAAGGGTCTATAAGAAGTTCGGGTTTAGTGCTAGAGGAGGGTGTACAAGTCTGAGGGTTTGGGGTCTTAGGGCACAGGGCTACAAAGTGATGGCTCACATTGGTTGGGCGAAGGGTTGTAGACGCAGAAGGATCTTCATGAAGAGCAGACATTCCTTTCCTTACTGTATGAAGTACCTGTAGCCTAAAAGACCTACCTTTCCAGGGTTCCTTATTATGGTTTCTAAAGAAAGCTCCTGAAAAGTGTTCTTGGACCTCAGGTACTTCAAGCTAATGTGGGAATGTCACTGAGGGACCCCCCAGTACAGACCCTAAAGCCCGCTCAGACAAGGGCTCCCCAATTGCACCCTCTCACAGAATCCTCCCAAACACCCCTCTGCCCCTTGTACACCTATGCCCCACCAGACCCAACAAAATGCACCGCAAAGAAAGGTAAATGCCTGCTTAACAGCTTCTGAATGCCCCCAATATTTGATTGTAGTCCACAGCGAGAGACCCGTGCGAACTGGGAACCCCAGCTTGGATGGCTCCACGGTTGGGGTTATGACACCGTAATGCACGTACTCCTCCCCATTACACATTAGTCCCTACTTGCCACCTCCTGACGGTGTCCGACTGGGCTATACAATTTCGGGCTTAAACCCTAAACCCTAAACCCTAGTCACAGAGGGCAGGCCAGAGCCATGCAACCACTAAGTCCGAAGCAGCCAAGTTCCTAGGTAGTATTAGGGAGCCGTTAAAGGGGACCCTTCTGAACTACTTGTGGCTCTCTTAAAAGGGACCTTATTGAGAGGGTCTATATCCCCAAGGGCCCCCCAATCCTAACTCCCACAAAGTAAGGCCCAAGAGTCGAAACCAAGCCCCAAAGTTCTGAAGATGTTGAAGACCAAATCATTTGAGCTAGGCTCTGGAGTACCATACTTGAATGTGTGTTTGTTTTTTGTTTTAATCGGTTGAGGGTTTCGAGTTTAGGTTTAGGGTTTCGGGTTTAGAGTTCAGGGTTTAGGGTTTAGGTTTAGGGTTTAGGGTTTAGGGTTTAGGTTTAGGTTTAGAGTTTAGGGTTTAGCGTCGGACCTGCTGCTCAAAGGAGCCATTCTGAAATGCTTATGCTATCTTCTCCCCTTGTCCCTAGAGAAGGCTTGGCCGTGCCGAAGGGGCTTCTCATTTAGTGCCCTGAGCCCTAAACCATACACTTTTCCCAAACCCTAAAAACCCCGAACCAAACACTAAAATCCTTAATCCCCTCCTTAACCCCACACCCTCCTAAGCCCCAAACCAAAGACTTAAATCCTTAATCCCCTCCTTAACCCTACACCCTCCTACACCCGAAACTCATCCCAAAACCTTTCTAAACCCTAGACCAAAACACTTAAATCCTTAATATCCCCTCCTTAACCCCACACCTAAACCCTAAACCAAAACACTTGGACTTAAATCCTTAATATCCCCTCCTTAACCCTCCACCCCTCTAAACCCAAAACTCATCCCTCAACCCGAAGGCCGTGGCCCTGCCGAAGTGGCTTCGCAATGAACTTTGCCTCGACTCTTGGCTTCCTACGGTCCTTCTGCGGTCAGAGCCTGGGACCCCAGGGGTTACCGGGGTTTAGGGTTTCAGGGGTTTGAGGGTGTAGGGGTTTAGGGTTTAGGGGTTTAGGGGTTTAAGGGTTTAGGGGTTTAGGGGTTTAGACGCCTGCAGGGCTCAATTTTATGTGGATTCCATAGGGAGTTACGAGTTTTATCAGGGTTCCGTAGGAGTTTATGGGTTTTATACAATGAGGGACGGTTGGAAATACATTTCAATACAAGGAGATCCTAGCACAAAGGAAGCCCTGGCATCGTCTCTTCTTGGTGTGTCTTACCAAAATCGATGATAATTACAAATTATTATCACTAAGAATCTTACTATAGACTGGCTAACGATTTTTTGCTCATACGTCTATTGCTGTGCTTATGCTTACTGCTGCTATGCTGCTAAACCTGAATCCACTCATGTCATGTGCTGCTCCTATTGCCAGTGTTGGTATGTACTCAGGCGCACAAAATCCCAAACCTTGGCCGTAAACTCTCTAAACCAAGCACACTAAGGCCGAATCGGAAGCTCAACACCCGAATCCCGAAAGCCCCAAAAACCCCTAACCCTGAAACCCCAAAGCCCACGAAAAAAATACAGAAACACCGTGAACCCTGAACCCCAAACCCCTAAACCCTGAAGCCGAAACCTAAAGGAAGTTCTTCTTGGGGTCTGAGTAGGTAACCTTTAACCTTTTGGGGCTTATATGAACCCGTTATAATTCAAAAGGTTAACCTTTTTGGGGGCTAAGGTGCTCGGCCCCTAAGTCTTTTGCTACTGAGGCCGCCGACGCTGGAAAGACGAGGCGAAGGAGAGCACGCCATGTCTGGGGTCATAATCGTGTGGAGGGTTTAGGGATTTAGATGGTATAGGGCTTATGGGGCTTCTGGGGTTTAGGGTTTAGGGATTTAGATGGTATAGGGCTTATAGGGCTTAGGGTTTAGGGTTTAGGGATTTAGATGGTATAGGGTTTATAGGGCTTATAGGGTTTAGTTTAAGGATTTAGATGGTATAGGGTTTATAGGGCCTATAGGGTTTAGGGTTTAGGGATTTAGATGGATTGAGGGCTGGAATTGTAAGGTTATCGGCTAGGGATCATCAGCAAATTCTGTGGGTCCTTGTTGTTTTTTGGAAGTTTTTGGGCCCGGATTGAGGGAAAGAGGACGGGTCACCCGACGAGGGTTGATCGGGCCGTATGTGTCAGGGGTTGCGGGTTCAGAAAAGGTTTGGAAAGGAGGATTTAGGTTTAGGGGTTTTAGGGCTTAGGGTGTAGGGTTTAGGGTTTGGGGTTTGGCTGGCCTTCTTATATTGAGGTTCACTATAGGGTTTCGGGTTATTAAGGGTCTATGGGCTTGGCTTTTTGGGCTTGAGGGCTCGGGCAAATGCACGCACAGGAGCTGTCTCGCTACCGGGACGGCGCCATTCTGGTGCCCTTGCTGCATTAAGCCCTAAACCCTAAATTTTATAAACTCTAAACGCAAGTTGTCGGGGACTGGATGAGTTTGAAGCTCCATGGTTTCGACAAATGCTCCTGCTGCAAGTTTCAAGAGGTACTTTAGAAGTCTGAAGAAGTGGAAACTGGAAATACTTTGCCCTGGTCGTCCGTGCATTTTCTTCCTAGAGTCTACGACGTCTACGACAATCCCTATTCTTATCCAAGTATTGCGGCCCCTATGCTACTGGAATCTTCGGTGGCTCGTTGGCTCCCTAAACCCTAAACCCCTAAACCCTGAACCCTAAACCCTGAACCCTAAACCCTGAACCCTAAACCCTGAACCCTGAACCCTGAACTCTGGAGGGAGCCCTCAAAGGAAGCCTACTTTTGGGTCCCAGGCGCGCATGCGGGGAGCAAGAGTGCTGCCACTGCAGGACGCACCGCAGGCTCCGCCCCAGCTCTAGAGTCGGTCGTTCCGCTCTTTTGGAGGGTTCATGGTGAGGGAGTTGGGGTTTCGGGTGTAGGGTTCAGGGTTGAGGGCTTAGGGCTTATAGGGTTCAGGGATTAGGGATTACGGTTTGGGGTTTAGAGATTAGGGTTTAGGGGTGAGGGATTAGGGTTTAGGGTTTAAGCCCTTACCTCTAAAGCCTGTACCCTTAAGCCTACAGCCCCAAACACTCTTGCGTTTAGGGTTTGCTTGAGTGGCAGCCTGGCCTCGCACGATGAGGGCTCTCTAGGGCTCTTGTGTAGGATTCCGACAGGGGGTCGACGTCGGTTTATTGTCTAGGGTGTAGGAGGGTTTACGGTTTAGGGTTTTGGATTCGTGGAGTTGGGGGCTAATTAAAGCGATCCCATTCAGAGAGGTATGGCAGTCTGGACGACTTGCTAGGCCTACAGTCTTACCTTAAATTCAAGTCCCTACCTATTGTATCCGTGCAATTCCTTTTTGGGGATACCTTATAAGATGCTAAATATAAACTTGTTTAAACCAGGCAGGAACTACACTGGAGACGATGGGTAACCACCAAAACCCCAAAACCTAAATCTCTACGATCCCAAACCCCAAAACCCCTAACCCAAAAACTCCCTACACCCAAAACCCTAAGCCCAAAAACTCTCTAAACCCCAAACCCTATAAACCCTTAACCCAAAAACTCTCTAAACCCAGAAGCTCTCTAAACCCTGGCTTGTGATCGCCAGGTTCGTGCTCTGGAAGACAAGGCAGGCTTCCCACACCCAGATCCGAAAATCCCGTGTGGGCCTTTTCTCGGTTTAGGGTTTAGGGTTTGAGGGTTTAGGGTTTAGGGTTTGAGGGTTTAGGGTTTAGGGTTTGAGGGTTCAGGGGTTAGGGTGTTCAGGACAAGGGGTGTAGGGTTTAAGGATTGGCTTTAATAGCTCAATAAGAGTTGTTTATGGTTGTCATGATGGAGTGTATTATGAGA